CATCATTTAGTGAATTTAGGTTCAGGCAACAGGTGAAAAATTAAAGCTGTGGGGCAGGGCTTTCCATCCTGTGTGCCTGGTGGTCACAGAATCTAAAAATATTGCTTCCTCATCCTGCAGGTCAGCCAGGAGGGCACCATCATCTCACCCCTGGACATAAGCAACCCTGAATATGAACTCCAGAGTGCCAAGCAGATGTTTCTACATGTGCTGTGTAAGGCAGACTGGGATAGGAATAGCCTTAATAACTTGCTGGTAGCTATGCTTTATGGTTACCATACACGTTAGGGTAAGATAGGTGTGATGTGTTGGTCAGATTTTTCAAGGACTCAGGACAAGAGACTATGGAGAAGGAAGTAGGGCAGATTTCAGAGCCGAATAGAAACCCTGCAGTCTAGGAAAAGGATCTCTAAAGCCAGGAAGGCAATACCATTGTTTTTATCAATAGGACGTGGTAGAGATCAGGACAAGAAGCCATGTCTTAGAAACATCATCTTCCCAGTGAGGTCTTTCCTGTCACCTCCCTAAAAATTCAAATCCTTCCCTCCACATGCATATGTTTCAGGTCCTTTCTTCCTGCTTTATAATTTTCCTACCAACTCCCACTATCTAACATACTAGATATTTTCCTAGTTATCTTGTTTAACACCTGTCTCCACGAGATGGTAAGCTCCATGCAGGACCTTCTCTGCCATAACGCTCTGCTATGTCTGTCCCTGGAGCAGCTTTAGGCCACAGCAAATACCTGCGGACTGAATGCACACACCCAGAGAAGCCTGTAAGGAGCACAGCTGGAGGGAGCGGGAAGTCTAGGAGCCTTAGCAGCAGCCTTAGAACCGCCTGACAAAGAGCAACCTGTCAGTCATGCGCCAGGCAAACAAGCTGTTTCCAGACTTGTAAGAAGTCAGAAGAAGACAATGCTCTGTCACCTCGTCTGCTTTCCAACATTCACGTGTTGCTTTCCTTTCGTTCATTGTGGGGGACTGTCTCCTCAGACATGGTAAAAAATTACATTTGCTATCTTTGGGAATCAGCATACCATGCAAGACCATTTCTAATTTCATCTTTGCTACTACCCAAATGTTGCTTTAAGCTTTACCATGCCCCGATTTCTTTGACCTACTGAACATTCTTCTTTCCACTGGTAGTTTGCCTTTTGATCTTGTCACTATATTTTCTACTTTCCTGTGACTCTGGTTTCTGTGTAGTATTTTGTGACCCTATCAGTGTCACAGAGAACATAGGAAAACTTGAATAACTAAGTTATTTGTTGTTTAAAAATAAAATTAGATAAGGAAATGGAAGGGAGAATATTTTTAGAAATGCCTTTTCACTCCTATAGGATTAAAATGATCAATAATACTCCAAAAATAAATTATAGTCTTAAATTATAAAATGCGCAATGAAAATATATCGTACTACATTACTTTTTATAGTTCCTTCCTTCTGATGAATGCAAATACCCCTCTAGACCCTTAAAAAATTATCTTCATAATATTTCTATAAATGAGCAGATATTTGCTGTTGCCATTTTATAACAAATGTACAATCAGTGTGAGCTGGACTCTAAACCAGATCCTATTAACCTATTATATAATTCTCTGAGTAATAGTGTTTTTAGCTGACTGATGTTACTAGTAAGAAACGCTATTAATAGGAAAAAATGGGGCACTAGACACATACTCAAGATTCATCAAAATTCCAACACTCACTATATGTTATGACAACTGAAAAGTCAGACTTCATTTTAAGTAGAAGGTGCAACATTGCCCACTCTTAAGCATGGCATTGTCAAGTATTACATTTGCTTTCAAAAGAAAAGAAAGAACAATATTACTATAGTGAAACAATTATCAGTGATATTTTAAGTATAATTTAAAAATTGTATCTATTCTTAAAATATACATTCATAGGCAACAACATTCATAAAATTAAACTATTATGATCAATAGATCTATTTTTGTGTAAAGGATTAAATTTAGTAATTACTACATATTTAGTAATAATGGAAAAAATACATTATTAAATTAACATGTATTTTTATAGGTAATTTTATTGCTATGACCATGATACTTCCAGTCAAAAGATAAAAAGCATATTACAACAACAACAAAAATTGACTTCGCTAAATTGAACATATAGTCTGAATACCCATTACTAACTAGTGGTCAGTACACATGTTGAAATCTTCAAATAATACTAACATTTTAAATTATAGATAACAGGATTATTGATCAGAGAACTTCAGGTGATTCAAACGTATTTCAACAACCTTTGGTTATTTCCATTTGAATTTCCTGCCATCACCAGAATTGCTATCACCTCAATTAAATAGGTCATAAAACAATTTCATCATTTTTTCTTCTTAATTGGATTCCCTTTCCTTTCCCCCTATTCTAGCAATGATATTTTCATTATTCCAGTAACATTTCACTGGAACTTACCATTGTTTCTTCCTTTTCTATTAGCCTCCACAATCCATCTATTTATCATCAAGGAGTATTGAGTCCACTTTTTCCGTTCCCACTGCCACCTCTCTGGTACATGGCATCAACCTCATAGACCTGCTCTATCACCACGGCCTGCTGAGTCTACTGTTTTTTGGCTTCTCATTTCTCTCTTCTATTCTTGTTTAAAATCCCGTTTTGATCACGTTACACCCCTATTAACATTTTTGTATGGATTCCTTAAGGGAAATCACTGATTTTGACTGAAAGCTGTTCAGTTTTTGTAAGTCGGTGTGGAAAATACAGGGTGCTGGCACTATCTCTTTTCTCGATGCAACCTAATGCTGATACCAACTTCACAAGAAAGAACATACCCATTTGCAGAGGACAGGAAACAGTTCTTTAAAAAATGTGTTTTTGTTTTGTTTTGTTTTGTTTTAAATATGACAAGCTATTGTTGGTTGCTATGTCTCTAGTACCTGGAATGTAATAAATGCTCAATAAATATTTGAAATAGGCAGGGGAATGTATATGGAATCTCATCATGTAAGCCAAATGTGTTGTAATAAAATCCCACAGGGAATAGAAGGTTACAGAGAGTAAGTTCTGCCCTAAGAAAAATTTGGTCAGAGAAGAGCTGAATAGTGAGGTGACTTCATGTAAGATCAAATGAGTGTGATAAGAAACTTAACATCTTTTCTCTAATAAACTGAACAGCCAAGTCTAATGAGGCAGTAGGGGAACAAGTAGAGGAATGAATTGCCTTCAATGAATTTTTTAATGCCTTTTTAGATCTTGACCCTAAGGTATCAGAACAAAGATGAGCTTTATAAGGCTTTAGTCTCAAAAAAGTTAAGGTTGCTTTTACTTAAGCTTAAGACCAAGAGAGTTGAAGTTTAAACCTATTTCATTAATAATTATCTACTACTGTGGAACCAATCACCCCAAAATTTGGAAGCTTAAAACAAGACACATCACCCACAGTTTCTGAGCATGGCTTAGCAGGGTAATTGGTACCGGGTCTCTCATAGGCCACAGTCAAGGTGTTTGCTGGGGCTGCAGGCATCACAAAGCTCAACTGGGACAGGGATCCTCTTCCAAGGTCACTCATGTGGCTGTTGGCAGGCCTCAGGTTCTCACTGGCTCTTGGCCAGAGACACCAATTTCTTGCCACATGAACCTCTCCACAGAGCGGCTCACAACATGACAGCTGGCTTCCATCAGAAAGAGCAAGTGCCAGGACAAAAAAGAGCCTTAGTCCTGCCAACATTCACTGGTCTTACCATGTTCCCCATGACCCTTACGCAGCAGGCTTGATAGAATGGCGAAATGATTTTTTGAAGACTCAGTTACAGTGTCTTCTAGGATAAGACAATGACCTCTAGGAAGTGATATTTTTCTCTAAATCAGCATTTAATAGACTGTCCTATATCTCCCAGATCTGGGAATGAAGGGGTGGAAATGGGATTGACCTCTCTTCTTATTACCCTTAGTGACCTACTAGCAAAACTATTCCTTCCCATTCCCATGATTTTAAGCTATAATGACAGTGAAATTTAGTGATAACAGTTCTTTACCTAGTACTTAAAATGTTGCCCAAATCATTTCCTTCAAATGCATAAACATGCCCACAACTCTAAATATGCAGCGATTCACTCTTTCCTCTGAATGCTGTTTGGAGGAGTTCATGTTCAAAACTTCTGCTTATTTTTTGGCGTCTATGGCCAAACCAAGCCCATTTCTGTTCTGTAGTCATAACCAGATATCATTGCTCCTTGTGTTTACTATCAACAATGTTTGAGACTGGTGAAAGCTAAAACCAGAAGCAATCTAGAGATTAGAGACCGAAGTACAAAGCCTGTAGTCTGGGAACCAGTGTCAGCCATCCGTCCACTGTCTGGAGCTCACCCGAGGGGCTCACCCTCCACTTCCTTCCACTCAGTGGCAGCCAGTTCTGCCTTCGTTTCCTGAGAACATCTTCCTATCTATTCTAGCACTTACTCCTCACATTGCTCTGTTTCTTTGGACTAAAATGCCATCCTGTATATCTTCTGACAATCCAAATCCTAACACACAAAGTCCAGCCAAAATCTTTTGCATGAAAACCTTTTCTAAAGACTCTATGTTACAGCAGTCTCATTTCCAAATTCAAAGACTTGACTGCTGTTGTATCATTTAGTTGGTACTCAATCAGAGACACATATTCTGAGATTCTGCATGGCTACCCAGTCCTTATCTTATAATCAACTTTTAATTTATAGACATCTTGCTTCCCTTAGCTTCAACAGCAACTGTCTTCAGTACTCTCAGGTTGTTTCATCTATTCATCTTTTCAGAGTTTGATGGTAAGCATTTTCAGCTACTTAACAAATTTCTGGTAGTGGATCAGACCCATGCTGTATGTTATCAATAACTCATTTGAAGATTCATGGCCAAACAACATGCTTAATTTGCAAAACAGAAGCAGAGGAATGAATTTCCTCTAATCTCATAAGCTTATTTTTTTTTTCACCTTAAAAAACACAAAACCCATACATCTCATCAAACACATACCTGCAGAAACTCGGGGGCAGTCAGGCAGCATGGACTCCACCGATGTGTCTAATGGTTCTGAGCTAGAGACCCAGTTACAGCAGTTCTGCAATGTAATACAGACAATTTCCTGTTGAAGCATGATTTAAGCCAAGACCAACTTTTCAGGTGGTAGAGATTAATTTATCCACTAGAAGTATACTCAATTTATTTTTCATACTCTATAAAAAGTTTTCTTATGCAAACTTTCTGTAATTATTCACGACCAACATGACTTTGAAAGTTTATCTTCTACAATTCAGCAAATCATGTGCGTTGATAGTAAGAAGACAAGTGACCTTTTTAAAACCATCCTATATAATAAAAGCCTAATATGCAAACTGTCCCCTCAACTGGGAGTTCGACCACTTGCTATGATGTGTGTTGACCACTAGGGGGTGACGTGGAACATAGTGGGTGTCTGCAGCACAATGCAACCTCTCAGTGACTACCTGGGGGCAGGGTTGACGGGGACAGAGGTGCGGTAAGAATGCAGGTTGATCTCTGAACTCGCTCTCACTATCCATTCTACCCTTCCCCAGGACACCAGGGCTTATAATCCAGGAAAGCCTCCGTACTCGGGTGCTGGGCACCTGTGAGGACCCCACCCTGCACCTGCATGTGTCTTCTGGGTGAGCTGGGCTGCAGCCACCGGGATCACAGGGGCCAGTTGGGCTCCCTGTGGGTTCACATAGGAGCCGGGCTACAAGGCCAGCTGGGAAATAGCATGCAGCCCGCCCAGCTTCTGTGCGGCACCACTGGGGGGCACAGAGGCCCACAGCATCCAGCCATGCTCATAGCATCTCCATGTAGGGACTTGGGTGCTGTGACTCAGGCATAGGGGGATGTGTAGGGGCCCAGGTCAGCTGGGACTTACCCTTCTACACCAGAGGCTTGTGCAGGCCAGGCCTAGGGACCGCACCTGTGCACGAATTTCATGCACCGGGCCTCTGATGATGTAATATATTTCCAAGAGAAGGCTAGGACTATAATTAAAAGAAACTAAAAAGGGTGTCCATTATTAACTTTAGATGGAAATTAATATTATTTTGAACATGTGAAAAAGTATCTAGATTTTAAAACTATATTCTTTGTCTGTGTAATACTAGAAGAAAATAGATTTTATACTTACTCCTCAAAATCTAGCCCTTATAATGATACCATCTTTTAATTTTTACTTCAACCTGGATCAATGAAGGATGTATTAAAGGGTTCAAAAGAAGCACAATCTGGTGAATTGTAGCTGTGTGTCTGAGGACACAAAGCTTTCAATATTGAAGATAATAATAATTTATAATTCAGACAAATGAAATAAAAATAATTTATATTCCTTCCATACATTTTAAATCTGATTTGAAGTATGGCTTAAAAAAATGTGATTAACCTCATATGTAGCTCTTAAAAAACTCCCCAAACACACACACACACACACACACACAATGAATTTCCAGACAGATTTTATTTTAAAAGAAATCATCCTATCAATCATGTTGGAAAAATCGCTGATTGTTATTCTGGTAAACAACCACGTATTGTGTATTTTTAGATGCTTGCTGCCCTGCTTGTGCACCATGGAATCCGTCCTCACTGTGGAAAGATCCTTGACTGGTAGATCAAGTGTCTTATTGTGTTTTCTTAATTCATTCTGTCTGGAAGAAGATGTCAGCTGTGTTTCAGTGAGGAGAGAATTTCAAAGGCCCCAGTCCCCACCAATAAAAGCTGAGGAATGGCTTTTGAATAGATTTGTCAAGGCAACCCTACTGTTCTGGGACCAGGGAGAGCAGGAATAACATAAAGGAAGGGTTGCTGTATGAGATTAGAAAGTGAAGTTCACAAAGCATGGCAGATTTTTGTAAGAAACAGTAGATCAATGAAACTATTGAACTGTGTGGAAAAAAATCCATGAAAACAAACACAACATCTAGTAATGGTCTTAAATGCTTTCTCTCTTTTTTACATTTAAAATAGATAAAATATTAGTATTTTCATGTATTATAAAAGCTTGAAGGTTTAAAGTGGATTTGTATTCTTAACTTGCACTCCTAATCTTAATTAGCAGTTGAATGAAAAATTATACAATGCAAAAGAACAGGAATTATAAAAGAAATGGGGTTTTAGAAGATATTTCATACATTTGAAATAAGTAAAATTAATATTACTATTGATAGAATACCACATCAGAGAGTTCTGGATAATGCAGAAGATTAGCAGACAATTAGCCAGCTTTTATATACAATGTGACACTTGCTTGTAAGAAATAAGCATTCTCCAAAGCAGTGTCAAGATATGTAAATGGATGATTTGTTTCATCATTCATCACAGCCCCTAATAAATTCAAAAATCATGACTTCTATAGATACTAAAAATAGGCTCCCAATGATACAGAGAGATAGCTTCAATGAAGAATGACTTTCTCTTTCTCTCTCTCTCTTTCTTAAACAATTCAGTCTTTTCAATGACAGCAATTAGCACTACCGACAGACAGGCAGCGATTAGGCATATATTTTAATTATTATTCATCCTAGTAGTACCTCCAAATCTGATGAAAGTCAGCTATTACCCAGGTGATATGTCACTCTTAATACTGCTCACATACACTTCACATATGTAAAACTATGTCTTATAGGATATTTCTAGTATTAATAAAAGTGATGGAACATTACAATGTTCAGGCAATTAATCATTTTTTAACTCGTTACCATTGACTTTAAAAAGCTGAACAAAATAGATTTTATCCAGGTCACCTTTAACTTAAACATTTAAAGTAAAATGTAAGTTAACATTTTATGATTCTGAAATTTCAGTTTTTATCTAGGCATAAGTTTGGGCTTTAATTTTTAAAAAAAAGTATATTTTTATTTATTTTAGAGAGAAGGGAGACGGAGAGAGAGACACATCGATGAGAGAGAAAAACATTGATTGGCTGCCTCTTGTATGTCCCTGATTGGGAATCAAACCCGCAACTTGGACATGTGCTCTGACTGGGAATCAAACCAGGGACCTCTTGATGCATAGGACAATTTTCAACCAGTGAGCCACACCAGCCAGAGCACATGTTTGGACTTGGATTTATCATAAAAATAGGGTAGAAAATAAATACTTTACAGATAAAAAATAAGTAAAAAAAAATTCTCAGGAATGACAAAGTACCTGTGTAGAATGGTAAAGATTTGATACCACAAATTTTATCAGTGTATACATGTGAAAGTGTACACCTGTGAAATCTTTATCCTCCCCCAATCCACCCTGGGAAAAATATATAGAAAAATGGGCAAAACAAGCTAAAAATATACTTTCCATGTCATAGAGTATAATGAAATAAAATAATGTAAGCACACTGGGATACATATGTAAAGACAGATGAGAAAGACATACAGCTATAATACATTAAGTCAAACTATCTGAAATTCTATCTTATCCTACCCAATAATAGAGTAATATGCAAATTAATCATCACTCTGCTACACCCACAAACCACACTCACCAGCCAATCAGAGAGAGTATACAAATTAACCCAACCAAGATGGCGGTTAATTTGCATATGAGGAGGTAGGGAGGAGTGAAGACTGAAGACAGCATAGAAGGAAGAGGGAGGGTAAGTTGAAGCAAGGCGGCTTCGGCTGCTGGAGGGAAAGCAGTGGCAGCGCATGCATGCGGGGTGGCGAGGCGCATAGCAGCCAGTGGCCACTGAGGCGGCAGGAGGTAGGAGGCAGCGAGGGTGGTGGGTGCGGTGGGTCAGGGGAGCCCTGCCTGCCCCACCCTGCCCCGCCTGCCGTAGCGGGAGAGGTAGGGGGCAGGAGAGGGGGCGGTGGCAGGTGGTAAGCCCACAAGAAGTCTTGCAGGAATATTCCTGCAACAGGTCACTAGTCAAATATAATTCCCTATTCTGAGATGTGTTCTATAGTTTAGGAATCAAATCTCTATCCTGTTTGAATGCTTATTCTATCCCTCTTCTCAATGTCCCAGTTTGCCTCCCTACCCGCCTACCCCAGTTCTTCAGTTGAGATGAATGCTAGCAAAGTGCTGGCGACAGAGCTCAGTGGGAAAGCACTATCTAGCTCAGCAAGGTGGTTCAATTGGTTGGAGTTGTCCTGTATGCCAAAAGACTGAGGTGCGATTCCCAATTAGGGCACACACCTAGGTGGGGGGTCCAACCCCTGATCAGGGAATGTATGGGAGGCAATCTCTCTCATATTGATGATTCTCTTTCTCACTTTCTCCACCTATCCTCTCTCTCTTTCTCAACATACTTTAAAAAGGAAAATGGATGCCCTAACTAAACTCAAAACATGCACGAGCGTATGCCCATTCCCTGGAGATCTTATTCTCAGGTGCCCAAGCAGACAACACAGGGCACACTGGACTAGAGGTACCAACAGAGCCATGTCTGAGCCCCATCCCATCCAACAAGCCTGGAGAAAGAAGCCCTGGACCAGAGCCAGCATATGAGGATAGATCATGTAACTCGAGTTTCTCTGGGTCTGAGGGGAAAAGAGAAAAATAGTCACTAGAAGTGAGTGATTCTTAAAGTTAAGTGTTTTCAATTTAAAGGTCTTTTACTCTGAAATTATGACCTTATGGGATTTGGGGATTGTAAATTGTCTTCTTTGTGAAATCCAAAAGGTTGGGAACTATTAATAATGATTAGAAGTGCCTTTGGCCACAGTACTGAGTGGCTCTCTTTGACATTTGAACCAAGGGTTTGCAATATTTTAGTGTAGATAGGAAATGAATTAAATTTTTTTTTAATGAAAGTATATTATGTTTAAAGAGGAAATAGATAGTAGGTATTCCTATGCAAGGTATTTGGAAGTATCTGGAGTTTAGGGGTTTATTCACTTTTATTTCATTTGTCTGAGTAGTAAATCACCAATGCCTTAGACACTGATCTTTAATGTGGCAGGTACTGTCTCCTCATACAAGAACGAGAACAATTCACCAGCTGAGTTTTCAGCACCGGCACACAGAGCTGTGTGGTAATAGGTAAGGGTTCCTGACGGTTATGGAGACCATACATCTGGCTTGGCTGAAGACTTTCAGAAGCTATGGGTAAGTCAGCCTTTTGCC